TTGTTACGCCGAGCTTCTGAAGTATTTGGTTTGTTTGTGGGAGGAGGTTGAAGTGAGGACCGGACTCGCTCCTCTTGTTGACTGTAAACGTCCGGCTGATGCCAAACAAACGGCCGTCAGCCGACCGGCTCTGACGTGGCGTCCACGCTTCCAGACTATCGAGGCCGTTTTCACCCAACAGGACGTGGCTGTGAGGAGCTGCTGTCTTGTTGGAGTAAAGGGGAAAAAAGCTCTTAAAGAGCCATTATTTCCTTTTTGTTTAATCTCTCCAAGGCTACCGATGTGTAATTAACCTTCTGGCGACGCTCCTCTGGGTGTGTTTCTTACACAATCACAGCTTTCGTTGTTCTGGCTGCGATTAAACTTGTGGTTTGGATGTATTTGCACATTTACTTTTATATTATTTAACTCTCCATGATGTTTCATTGTCTTGCCTTGTAATGGCTGAATCTCACGTCGCCGTGCTCACACTGAGACAGAACCGATCTTCTGTCACGTCTGATGAACACGAGTGACTCTCAGGCTTCAGCGGGTGGAATCTCCATCAACTGGAGATCTTCCTGTGACTGGAAACCTCTCTGAGCAGCGCCAGACCTTCCTCCGAGCGTTCAGGTGTTGCTCTCGTGGAAACGGTCTCCGGACACGTGACTTGCAGCTCACGTGCCAATTAACGGGTCGGCGGTGACGGCGCTGCGGGCCGGACCAGGTACAGGCGATTAGCGAGACATCTCGGTCCAGCAACACCGAGCTGGCGCGAGGATTCCTCCTCTCCGCCGTCCTTTGCCAGATTCCCTCTCCAAGGCTCTGAGGATTCTTTACCTTCGCTTCATGTGTAAAACTGGCTTCTGAACGTGAAGCGTCGGATAAAGCGGCGATTCCCTGAAGCGCCTTTCCTGCCAAACGTGCCCTGATGGTTCACAGCACTTGTACAGCAGCGACTAAAACGGCAAAAACAGAAAAAATAGCAGAACATCAATGAATAAAGAGTGTTCTGCATGAGGCAGCAGGAACCGACATCCACGGCTCGGAGAGGGACGTCTGATGTGTTCTGTGCATGAGTCCTGAAAAATAAAGAAAAAACTAGAGTTGATTTTTTGTTTCTTGTATTACAAAAATGAGAAAAAATGATCCACGGCTGTTATCAAGACTTTAGACCAACTCTACAGACGCTTTCCTGCTCCGCGTCTTTACACTTCCTGCACTTCAGCCCAGTTAAAAGAATCGCTGAATTTCCGTCGCTGGACTTTCGGTCACAGCTGAACCACGGATAGCTTCACGGTTCCAATAAGCGCCGCAGAATCCGATTCTTCCACACGGTCAATTTTTAATTAAATTTTGATTAAATGGTTGAAAACGGCTGGAATCAGCAACGTTTCTCCTAAAAAACAGCGGCTCCACGTCACACAGATGTTTCACACTTTGATTTTGAATGTTTTTATTCACTTCCTGCACTTCAGCCGAGAGGTTCTGGGCCATTTATAATATATCTAATTGAGACTGGAGCCATTTTTAATCTTAATTACACGACGGTTAATCGCAGCTGAAATATTCACAGGTATCTAATCACAGACTTTATCCAAAACATTGTACAGTTGCGTTTGGTTCAGTTCTTACAGTTTGTGGTTCTGATAAACTGGAGTTTAAACTTTTATTTTTAAAGATAGAACGGCGGTGATGGTTTTTGGCGCTGACGGGGTTAAATTGGTCTCCATGGTGACACTTTTAATGTTCTTTTAAACCACCTAAAGCAGAGACAACCTTAATTTTTCCCTCCTTCTGGATGCTGACATGCAGTCTGTGGTTTGTGATTTCCAAAACACACGACCCGTTCATCTTCTTGTGGAGCTGATGTTGTTTTTAGATGCTGATGCAGAACCTGAAGCCGCCAGCTCTCACGTCTTTGTTTTTGGTTTCTGCACAAGCTGAAGCGAGCCCGTGATTGGCGGGGAGCAGCGATCCTCTGAATCTGCCCCTCGGCTTCATTATTAACCCCCCACCTCGGCGCTGCAGACGTGCGACTCGCTGCAGCATCTGGCGCGAAGAGCGCGAGGTGGAACTTGTTTCTGCCGCTGCTGCTTGTGCTCCCAACAGGACGCTCACCAGCTCCCAGGTTTTTTAATTTCCTCCAACAGAGTGACTCATGAGTCTTCTGAATGCGTCACAACAAGAGCAGGAACAAAGGCAGAGGCTCTGTCAGGACCTGCAGCGCGTTGGGAAGAAAAACAAACCAAAGAGTGAAAGTAAAGCGGCGAGTGGCTAACCTTGGTTTCATGCACACGCCCGACGCGTCATCACCGCTTCACAGCTTTATCTGCTCGCTTGTTTAACTTGGCGGCGGACAGTTTGATTTCCTGGAAACTTCAAGTCACCTGCTGCCCACGTGATCAGGTAGAAGTGTCGTTATTTCCGCCCAGTGAGCACCAAACGTTGACTCACTTTCCACCCGACACGCCTCTCGGGATCAGTTCACCTCTCGAGGATCTCGCAAGATTTACAGATTTAATTAAAAGGATTCTTGAATCTTAACCGTCACGGTGTGAAATTGTTTGTCCTCTGAACCCGAAACGCTCATAAATCAGCCAGAAACCGTAAAAAATAAAAATAAAACGGAGGGAGAATTGGTGGATTTTTAATTTTCTGATTATCCTCAAACAAATTACGCGCGACCTTCAGCTTCTTCGGTAAAAAACGACCAGATCGAAGCTGATAATCGTCGCTTTGTTCTGCTTGTTTCAATGAATAATGTGCCACAAATGAAGCCCTGTGGAGCTGGTGGTGACCCTGCCCCCGCAAAACCACAATATTCCATCAAAATGACTTTTTCCAACATAACTATAAAAAAAAATCTCTCAAAATAAACCGCCAGCTGTAACCAGATTGCATTAAAATAAAAAAATTCTGCGCTCCCCGACGCATCCGTGAAGCAACGAGTCGCTCAGCTGGGACCAACAGTCGGGTGGAAAAAATTCAGGAAGTTCTCGGCTGAAAAGTATTAAAATCCCAAAAATATGTCGAGACACTGTTCGTTTTTTTCTGGTATCAGCGTCAACCTTTGGGGGAAAATGGGGATAAATGGTTCCGGTTTTAATTTAAGTTTTTTTATAGTAAATTTTATGAGCTTCAACTTCATTTGTTTTTTCTTTTTTGAAACGATTCATGGCTTTACAACGGCGTCACACTGCAGAGAAGAGGTTTCTGTTTCCAGAGAGGTGCAGGACTTTATATTTATGTTGGAACATGAACCAACAGTGAGGTAAAAATGTGAGAATACAGAATTATAAAGAAAATTACAGCCAGCAGGATTCTTTCTAAACAGTTTCTGATGTGTAGAATCTGTATGTGGGCCCTTATTAGGGTCCGAGCACCAAAGGGTGCAAAGACCCTGTTGGAACTGCTCGAGTTTATTATTATTCGTCAAAATAAAACGCGTTTTTGAGGTACACAACGTACTCACACACTCACCAAACTCGCCACACACATCAGACCCGGCGAAAAATTTCATAATTAGGGGGAAACACTCACCTCAATAGCAACATGGCTCAACAGCGCCCCCTACAATATTACAAACAATGGGCCCCCGAACACACTTTCACGTAGAGCCACGAAATTCGGTACACACATGTAACAACTCGAGATGCACAAAAAAGCCTCAAGAACACATACCCGAAACTCAACAGGAAGTCGGCCATTTTGAAAAAATTGGCGGCTCGCAAATTTACCTCCTCTACGGGGAAAGTCGTACACACCTGAAATTTGGCCAGCGCAAACTACACGACGCGGTGATTAAAAGTTATCAAAACGCTCCGCAGATGAGGCCCGGTTTGGAAATGGCGGCCCGTCCAATTTTGATCAATGGCCATTTTGGCTGAAAATCGCCCATTTATGACCGATTTCAAAATCTATCTCCTACTACGGGGTAAGTCGGACACACCTGAAATTTGGCCAGCGCAAACTACACGACGCGGTGATTAAAAGTTGTCAAAACGCTCCTCAAAAGTCTTTTGGTTTAGAAACGGCGGCCCGGGCAATATTGATCAATGGCCATTTTGACCACTTTTTGGGGGTTTTCCACATTCATTGGGGTACAGTCGGAAGGCCGTTTCATCTACACCTACAAGACTCCGTGGGAGTGTGTCGCAGGTCGGGACGCACAAAAGAGTAAATTGGCGCCAAGCACCACCTGCCTCACTCCAGCGAGAAGCGAGGACCCGACCAATGCCGCTTGCGGCTTTAATTATGATTATTTGTGCTTTTTATTCAGGTTTTCCAGCCTCGGTGTGCTGCTGTATCAGTAGGAATTAGTTTAATCCAAACGGGATCTGTTAACTCGCAGCAACAGAAAACCAGAGGGAGGATGTGCTGCCGAGATGAGCGACAAAAACTAAAAACACAATCTACACTGATGTTGTTGTTTAATGAGCACAAGCTTCAGCGTCCTACAGAAGCCTCCTGCAGCTCTTCAACTAAATGTAAAAAAAAAAACACAACTGAAACAACTTTTCTTGAGAAAACACCTGCAGGAACTTCACAGTAAAAGAGTTTCTTCACTGGAAGGCTTTTATTGTGAAGGAGCTGTAGACACTCTAAACGAATGGGAGGAAAACTCAATATTTTAAGGTGGTTTTTTTGCTAAATATATATTTTTACAACGAATAAGATGATTAAATATGTTTTTCATCGCATTATAAAAGCCGGATAACGCTGCAGCAGGAGAGGAAATAAAGAAATGAGCTGTTTTTCTCTTTGACGTTCATATTTATTGACGTTTTGGTCGCTCCAGTGCACCAAAATAAAAGAAGGAATCCTTAAATAAGTGAACCTCCCAATCTTTATTGCAATTACGTCAACAGTTATTGATTTAAGGAAACAAATGTGCACAAGATACCTGTTTAAAAATAAAAACATCACCGTCATTTAAGAAAATAAAAGCCTCCAAACGAAAATACAAAAACCCATCGAACACTTTAAACATGGCTGTCTGTTTTTCTGTTTCCCGCCAGTCATCCCCAACACCCTGAAGGTTTCCCCCCAGACGCCGCCGCCCAGCGTCCCGGAGGGCAGCGACCTCACCCTCACCTGCAACGTCACCCGGGAGCTCACCTACCCCACCTACCTGTCCGTCACCTGGCTGGTGAAGAAGGGGACGGCCTCTGAGGAGATCCTGACGTTCGGGCCTCAGGGCGACGTGGCGACGGGCGCCAAGTTCGCTCGCCGCTACGCCGACGGAGGCATCCGGTTGGTCCCCGGCAAGAACGGAGCGTTCGAGCTGGTGATCTCCAGGGTGACGACGTCCGATGAAGGGATTTACGAATGCAACGGGACGGAGTGGGCGCACGAGACCGGAGGGAAGTGGATAAAAATCGTGGAGAGTACGAAAGAGATGGGAACGGTTGCTGTTACGCCGACAGGTGAGAAACCGTCCGACACCGAGTTTTTGGAAGTGAAATATGTCGGAGTCTCTGTTTAGAGCAGCTCAACACGAAGACACCGCTTTACTCCGCACCATCATCTGCTGCATGTGCTGCAGGATTGTTGTGAAGCGGCTCTGTGACACAAACTGTGAGGTTTCTAAAACATCTTATTCTGTTGAAACACATATTGACCAACATCCACACCGATACGACTCATCGTGACATCGACTGATCGCATCGACAGACCGGTTGACGCATTAGTTGATGCGTTAGTCAGAGTTTTTGGCTTAAAGTTGCTGCTATGAGAGAGTTTTCTGATTGTCTTTAGCAACTCTGAGATGAAACTGGATTTCTGGTAAATTCCTCACATGCGTTCGTTGTCCCTTCAGGAGGAAGTTGTAGCGTTTCTGTTGATCCTCTGATCGATCGAACGCCATCATCTGGTCAAAGAGTTTCGGTTTGTAACCTCATGTCTCCGTCAGCCTCAGCTGGACTTGGTGTGTTGTGCTGATAAACAAATGTTGGCATGTTAGCACGCCAAACTAAAATGGTGACCAGTGTGCTTGGAAAGGTTGCTAAGCTAGCAGCTAGCGTATTTTTTTATTTAAGTTGTTTTTTGGGCCTTTTTGTCTTTATTTGAGAGTGCAGTTGAGAGACAGGAAAGTAGGGGAGAAGAATGGGGGGAGGACATGTGGGAAAGGGTCATGAGCGGGATTCAAACTCATGTCATCGGGACTGTAGGCCTGCACACGGGACGCCAGCTCAACCAGGTGAGCTATAGCGGCGCCCCAGCTAGCGTACTTTTAACATGAATTGAAGCTTTATTACGCAGAAGCGAGCTAAGCTGCACCAATGGGGCAGGAGTAGCAGAAGCTCCTTGATTTTATTTATGACTTTTAATTTGACACATTTGCTGCCTACAGACTTTGAAAAGCATGTAGCTAGCTAGCTAGCTAGCAGTTAGCTGCAGTCAAGCTACTGTTTGCAGACTAACCACAGTCAGAGGAATCTGTCATTCACTTTGGACCAGTCACAGGAACAGCTGAAGGGAATTCAAACGTCTTTATAACGAAAGCCAAAATCAGATTTTTGATGCCCTGGATGTGTTTCTGTTTTCTGAGAACTTTGAGAACACTTTGCTTTATCGCTTGTTTTTTTTTAAAATGGGAACATAATCTGCTAAATGAGCTTCATGCTGCACTGAAGAAGATGTTAAACTAGCGACTGAGACCATAAACTGATGAGAAAAAGGTTCACCGAGGGAACAAATCAAGTGTGAAGTTGGTTCGTTTTCTCGTAGACGTCAATACACTCAGACTGTTTGTGCTGATGGAGGAGTCGCCCCCTGCTGGCTGGCGCACAGAATTCAGGCAGATTCTCATTATTCAGCACAGAAAACTCAGAAGTGCATTCTGGGTAAACTTTGATGTGATGGTGGTTGTTCAGAACAAGTTCTAGACAATGAAAGGATCATTTTTGGACACATCCATCTACAAGCCATGATTCCTGAAATTCAAATACAAAAAGTTATGAGAGCGAAAAAAAACCCCAAAAAACAAATTAGCAGAAATCCTTCTGATGCCTGTAAAATAATCCTAATGTGAAGGTAAAACTGTGCTTGGCTTCATTAAATACAGTAAAAACTGAGCTGAATGTGCAGCTTTCAATCAGAATCACGACTTTTCCTGCTCGTGCCGTGTGCTGGACCTCGGTTCTGGAGCTCCTCGAGTCAGGCTGGACTAAGAAGAGGGACGTGGGAGAGTCCTGCCTCTTTGTTCTGGAGACTTTCTCGGGGCTCCCAGGAGGTCGGCGACCCTCCTGCACTCATTCCCGCCGGTTGCTCCGGTGTCTGATGTCTCGTCCGGGTCGGCGAGGCCTCTGAGCGCCGCAGGAACGCCCGGCCGGCCCGTAATGAAACCGGAGACGAGCGCTCGCCGCCGTCCGCCTCGGGTCCATTGTGTCGCTTCGTATTGACTCGCCGACGTGAGCAAAGAGGATGAGGGAAGTCAAACAGAGCCGGCTTTGTGCCCTTTGTCCGTCTCCAGACGCCACACCGAGACTCTTCCCCTCACGCTGCTGTTTGTGTTGTTCCTGGAGACCACATCTACAGACGCTTCAGGACCACAGCAGCTCCTCGTCCGTCATGTTCACTGTCCACACGTCTCCTCAGTCTCAGGGGTTCGTTCGGGTTTTATCCACTTTTCTCTGCTGCTGAGCGAAACATTTGGTTCTAAATTCTGTCGTGAAAAGAGGATTTCGTCCTGGAACCAGAAGGTTGTTGGTTCTGAGTGCTTCTGTAGATAAACGAGATAAAGTCTCACTAATGTGACGTCCTGCAGCTGGATGGAAGCAGAACAACCACGAAGGAGGAGACAAAACGCAGAAATGTCGTCTAAATCCATCTACTGTACAACAGAAAAACTAAAGCTGAATTCCTCTGATTAACAATAAGTAATAGAATCAACATGTACAACATTTCTCCAAGCGCTCACAGATGTAAAATAAAAACGGCGACTCTGTGTGAACACTGCCTGCAGTTCAGCCGAACCAACAAAAAATAAATAAAATAAGACAAAAAATCCCTGAATTTTTGCGGCGTGCCTGTCGCTCACAGCTGAGTCACTCGTGGTTTTACGGTTGCGGCAAGAAGTGCAGAATTTTTTGATTTTTGTCGATTATTGAAAGAGTCAATTGTTTATTTTTTGCAGGATTATTTTTTCAAATTTTGAGATCAGATTCCAGCGTTGCCCGTGATTAGTTTAAGGACGATGTAGAAGTTGGAAATCTAATGATTATTTCACTTTTTATAGTTTCTGCCTCTGACAAATGATGTGATTTATTACGATAGCGTGTTTTGATGATTTTAAAACTTATTTTAGCAACAGAGCGTCACAGATGAGTAGTTCAAGGACCGTGGGAAACTTTAAAACCCGACGATTCTCTTGTTTTTACAGACTGCCTGGTTCTGATAGAAGGCGTACTTTTGGTCATTTTTGTAAATTTAATCTGCCTTTCAAAGCAGCTGGTGAGTTTTTAGAGTTAAATGAGCGCAAACTTAAAATAATTTTTAAAAAAAAGACTGAAAAACAATCATGTGGAACCTTAAAGAGGTAAAAAAGAAAACAGGAGAGTAGTTCATGCTGCTCGTTCTCAGACGTTTGTTGGTTTGTTTGTTGTTTTTCTGAGTGTTTATTTTCTCTTCTGCCTTTTTTATCAACTCTGGCTTGTCGGCGATAAATCAGATAAATCGGATCCATGTTTCTGTGTTCGGCGTGTCCACCACCAGACTGAGCCGTGTGGTTTTCATGTTTGCCGTGTTTCTGTCGGGTCGGTTGCTCAGGGCGACCCGCCGGAGACTCTGGAGGTTGACTTTGCCTTCGGTGTGTAAACAAGTGGTGTGAAAACGGAGCTCCAAGCGCCGACTGTTTATATGCAGCTGCAGTCATTATGGGATGTCCAGACCGGCTGGAACCAGACCGTGTTTCCTCTATGATGACCATGATAATAATAATAATAATAATGATGTGGCTGCTGTTTCCTCTCTGCAGGTCGATCCCTCAGCGTTAAGGCCTCCTCGTCCTCGTCCTCGTCCTCGTCCTCGTCCTCGTCCTCGTCGCTGCTCTCCCCCGGCGACACGCTGACGCTGCTCTGCTCCGTCGCCGCCGACAACCTGGCCGCCGTCACCCCGGAGGTCACCTGGCTGGCGGACGGCCGCGAGATCATCACGATGGAGCGCAGCGGCGTGGTGGCGTCCAACGGCAGCGGCACGCAGGGCCGGCGGGGCGAGGCCAGCCTGGAGCGGACCGGCGCCGGCGAGTACCGGCTGGCCGTGAGGGCGGTGAGCGGCGAGGACGGAGGCCTGTACGCCTGCCGCGTCCGGGCCTTCATCGAGAAGGGGGGGCGGAGCTCCGGGGGCGGCGGCAGGTGGCACATGGCGGCCGAGAAGACGTCCGGCCCGGTGACGGTGAAGGTGTCCGAGATCAGTGAGTGACACGTGATTGGTTGATTGTTGGACGCTTCAGGAGCACAAACGTTTGGTGTTCAGTCTGCGTCTCGTTTGTGGTTTTGGTTGGTTCGTGTCCTGTTTTTGTTTCGTATCCCGCTTTTGTTGTTTTGCATCTCGTTTGTCGTTTGTGTCTTGTTCATGGACTTTTGTGTTCAGTTTGTGCTGTTTTGTGGCCTTTTTGCGCCGTTTCCTGTCTTGTTTATAATAATAATAATAATAAACTTTATTTATACAGCACTTTTCAGAACAGGGTTACAGAGTGTTGTAGAAGTGTACGAACAACATTAGACAACATCAAAAGAAGTAAAAAATACATAAATGAAAAATGGTGAAGGTGAAACACATAAAACATGAAAGACAATAAAACAATGTAAAAATATATAAGAAGAATAAAACCCAGTAAAAGAAGACAATTAAAAGACAGTAAAGGAAGATAGAATGAACTGCCTTGATGCTGCCATCAAACGAAGGAAAGTCCACTCATAGAACAAACCCTGTAAACGCACATCTGTAAACATGTGTTGTTAAAGGAGGATGAAGTGCTGCAGATCTGAGCTCCTCCTGGTCCAGAGGCTGGAGGCTCTGACAGAGAAGACCCGGTCACCTCTGGTCCTGAGCCTCGGCTGTGGGACGGTGAACAGAGCCTTGGCTGAGGACCACCGGGTACATATGGGCTGAGATCAGAGAGTCACTGTTTATGTCATTTCCTGTCTTGTTTTGCTCATATTGTGTCTTGTTTATGTTTTTTGTTTGTCTTGTTTACTGAATTTTGTGTCTTGCTCGTGTTGTTTTTCTTTCGTGTTTGGTTTGTGTCATTTTGTGCCGTGTGTGTTGTTTTGTCCATTTTTTCAGTGGGTTGTATCTCGTTAATCTTTTGCGTCTCGTTTGTTTCATTTCCTGTCTAGTTTTTCTTCTGCTGTGCCTCGTTTGTGTCGTTTTGTGTTTCGTTGCTGTCGGTTGGATGAAACACACGTCATTGCCAAGGCTATGGCTAGTGGCTAGCAGCTAATGGCTAGCGGCTAAGTGCTAGTGGCTAATAGCTAATTGCTAGTGGCTAATGGCTAGCGGCTAATGGATATCGGCTAACGGCTAGCGGCTAAGTTCGACAGTTACATCAGATGAGCCACATCTGTCGATCTGTACTAAAACGAATCTCATGCATGTTCTGAATGAAGAAAACGATGAAATGAGAAAGATGAGACACACGAGCCGTCGTTCCTCCAGGAATCAGTGTTTTGGTGAGAATGTCTGTATTTAACACGACGTTCCTCAGGATTTGGGAAGGGAGACTCTGTTTGTTGTGTATTTATGCGTCGTGTGAGCGTTTCCCAGCCGTTGAATGTTTAACGAAGGACAAAGTTGATTGAGTTTTTGTGATATTTGAGTTTTCGTGGTTGTTGTGAACCAGGTCGGCGGCCATCTTGGATTGTAGCGCGGCGGCTTGATTATGGGTCGTCACATAAAAAAGGAAACTGAGGTCATTCCTGCTTACCTGTGCGTCTAAAAAAGATAAAACACTCAAATGCTGACATATACCGATGATCCCCGAACGCCTCACGTACTCTGGATGCTAGTTTGTGTGCTGAGAAGCCTCTAGTCTCCACTCAGGTACTGCAGCACAAAAATCACATGAAAAGAGTGAAATGAGGAGGTTTAATGTCAGAGTTACCCCAAATGAAACCAAGTGATCTTATTTAAAGGGGCTGTTGTCTGTGAGGTTTATCAGGCGTCAGTATCACATTTTTACTCATTTTTATTGTAAATCCTGAACCTCTATGGAAACAGAACAACCATGAAGAAGCTGTTCTGTGCTCTAGGACACAACTATTGAGCCAAATGATGAAAAAAATGGTTGAATATCTTTGATTATTTGCTTTATAAAAATTGGAGAAGCCTAAAATCAACATGTAGAACATTTACCAGTCGTTGTTTGTTGATAGCCGAATCAACAAAAAAATAAAAAAATCCCTGAATTTTTGCGGCGTGACTGTCGCTCACAGCTGAGTCACTCTGAGTTTTACGGTTACGGCAAGAAGTGCAGAATTTTTTGTTTTTTGCCGATTATTGTTAGAGTCAGCTGTTTATTTTCGGGGCAACTTTTTTCAGATTTTGATCATGATTTTGAGATCAGATTCCAACGTCACACATGATTAGTTTAAGAACTGCGCAAGAGTTTTTAAAATTTCACTTTTTATAGTTTCTGGCTCTGGATAATGTGCATATTTTTAAATGAGGCGTGTAGATTAGAGTGATTTTGATGAAAAATCATGATTTTAAAACTTAAATTTTACCAACAGAGCATCACAGACGAGTAGTTCAAGGACTGTGGGAAACTTTATACCCAGATGATTCTCTCTTGTTTTTACAGAGTTTCTGGTTCTGATTCAAGGTGTCATTTTTTAAATGTAATCTGTCTTTCAAAGCAGCTGGTGAGTTTTTAGAGTTAAATGAGTGCAAACTTAAAATAATTTAAAAAAAAGAACGACTGAAAAACAATAATGTGGAACTTAAATGAGGAAATAAGGAAAACAGGACACAATAATTGCTCCTAAAGTCACCATGTAGAACATTTAGCAGTAGTCGTGACCACGGCGTGACTCTCCGCTCTGCACATGTTTGACGGTGTGTTCGTCGGTTTTAATGTCTGCTCTGAGGGAACACTGCCTGCAGTTCAACCCAGAACATCCTGAATATTTGCCATCAGGCTGTCGGTCACAGCTGAGCCACTAACAGCTCCACGGTTGCACCCAGGAGGCTCGAATTTTCTAGTTTTTACAGAATCTTGTTGGAACAAATTGTGTTTTTTTGGCTATTTTTTAATTGAGAGAATCAGAATAAAGAGAGGGTAACGCCAGGCTTCCTGAGTCGTCCTCTTCTGCTCTGGTTGCTGTGATTCGTCTGACGTTCGTGGGTTTGCCGAGACGTGTGCGAACGCTGCCGCTGTTTGATTTGCCGCCTCGGATGGATGTGGAGGGCGGGCGGCTCTTTAATCCCCTCGTCAGCCTGTCGCCGCCTGCTGCGAGGACGATTGATTAGTCGTGCCTGTCCTGCGCTCTGACGGCGAAGCCGGAGGTTGCAGCCTGTGTGGGAATCTGTGATCCTGCCTCCGAGGAGCAGCGACGCCGAAATCAGTCGACGCAGCCGTCAATTAGCGCCGTCTGTCGGTCTGAGGTCACGTGTCAGACGCAATTAATCGCTTTGTTTGAGAAGGCAGGATGCTCGTTCATACGTTCATGTTTAATGGTCTTCTTGAGTTACGGATTAATTAAAGCTGATTTTCTGTTTTTCTTCCCGTAAAAAAAAACAGCAGCTAATGAATCCTATCAGCCAAAGCCTGATTTAATCTGGTGAGGTCTGCTGACAGGAGGATTGTTCCTGACGTGGACTTTTTCTGTGGAAGCAGTAAAACGAGAAGTGAACAGAACTCAGAAGTGTGTGGACGACGCCGTTAGGACGCCAGAAATGATTTTAAAAAAGTAGAGTCGCCCTGATTTTTCGTCTGAAATAAGAAACTCTACAGAGATTTGTTCCTGCTCCACCTGCACTTCGGCCCGATTGTCTTTTTGAGTTTTTATTTGGAGCATTTTGCAATTTTTTGTTGAAGTGTCTCGACTTTAAGCTGAAGTTTGTTTATGTCGCAGAAGATTAATTGTAAAGTTGAAAAGCTGAACATATTCTGACCTTCTTTCAGCCGTTTCTGACATCATTTTGGTGATTTTTATTTATTTATTTTTCTTGCTTGACAGAACTTTAAAACGTCGTCTGTGCAGAATGACGCCGTCAGAACGCTGTCGATTGAATATAACACAGAAAAGAACTTGAAATATGTAGAAAACAGCTTTTCTGACAAGCTCCCTCCTGTGTGATGAATATTTTCCTTTTTCCATCTTTAACGTCTCGACCAGCTCAGCGCTTTCCTGATTTTCAGCTCAGATTTGGTCGTTTTTTTTAGAGAACCGTCAGAATCTTGGGCGACGCTTTTCACGGCTCCTGATAAACTGTGTCGCTGTGGAAGAAGAAGAAAAAGTGGATTTATATTTATATTTAAAAGAACTCAGCGTTGGCTTTGGCAGAAAGCGTCTCAGTGGTGGAAGACGTGTTGGATTCATAACAAACTCCCGATTCCCACATGTCGGTGAAAGAAACGGACTCCTGAATAAATGAATCCTGATTACATAACGGCTACTGTACTATATTTTGGGAATTCCCAGGAAGCGCTTTGGCAGATTGACGGGCGCAAAGTTTCCTCAGAGCTCCCAATTTATTGTAGGAAAGTAGCAATTAGTCTTTTTGTCCCCGTTTCTTTATGAGGGTAGAAAAAGGGAATAAAAGCCCTTTTTAATGATATTTATAGAGTTCGCTTTGGTGCTTCTTGGCCATGATATTGCCGGAACGGATCAAAAAAACACCTCCTGGTGCCAGAATCCCCGGAGGACTCTGGATGCCAAACACATCAAAAAGGAAATCTGGTCACTTTAAGTATTTATTGGGCTTTTTCAATAGCGTGTTATTATTCCAGCAGATTTGGCAGAAAAGGATTTCTTCTCTTAGCCGATGATTTGTGACATTTTATGGATTTCAGTCCGTTTTCTTTTTTTGGACGTTATAGCTCATTTCGTCATGCTGAAGTCGTGGCATGTTCTTTCGCCAGTGGACTACGAAGGTGGTCGGTATCGAGTCCCACGTCTGAAGCAAAGAGTTAAAAGAAGCCATCGGTGCTGCTCGTTGGGGGATCGGAGCTCGTCGTCGGACGTTCTGATCCATTTATCGGAGAATAAATGTTGGATTTGTGGAGATTCCGGCTGGATTAACTCGATTTTTTGGGAGCTTTTATGCAACAAAAACAGAAACTCTGATGAATGTTTACCCACTTGTATTTCCTTTTTCCCACACCGCCTGCAGTTCAGCCGAAAAAGTTCCTGAATTTTTGCCGCCCGACCGTTGGTCCCAGCCGAGCGACTCGCAGCTTCGCGGTTG